GAAAACACGATAAATCCACGTGCTTCAGCTCCAGCCCCTGAGCCTTCATAAAAGCCAGGCTTTAGGGAGGGCCAGCGAACGCGCGTCCCTCCCCTTCTCCTCTAGAGAGAAACCGCATTCCCAAGCCACTCCTGGAAGAGGGACGCGGCTCTGATCACCTCAGGCCAGGTGCTCTGCTTCAGGAAAACAGGGCAACGCTCCTCAAAGCAGGACCAGGGGCGTGTGTTCTATTGGAAAAAAATAACTGATTCAACGCCAACCAAACCAAACGATTGCTAGGGGACAGCGAAGCCTGCTCTTGTGAAAGCTGGAATAAGGGAACCGTTATCCTCAGGTTTTAAATGAAATGTAACTACATTATCCCTCCCATCCATCAAAGGCCCACCCTTTAAAACCTGCCATCTGTAAAGGTCGGGCTTAACTGATCAGGAGGAAGAAAATTTCATGCTGTCCCACTTCCCTCCTGAGCCAAGCAAGTCAGTAATTAAAAATTCCGAGAGGCCTTCATCAATCCCCATGACCTGCATTTCTGCTAACCTGTTTCCCGGGACGTGGCCCCAGTGAGGCACCTGACTCACAAATCACCCCGAGTCCCGCACCCAGCAATCTCCTCTGCAGACAGGTAGCACAGCAGTGTGGGAATGGCAAACAGAATCTTTTTATAAAGTGTAGAATCGGAATTTGAAAGGGACTTTCTACCTTCCTTCTGATTTTAAAAACAGATGTGAGTTTGGGTCGAAATAGTCATCTTTCCTAGATTTTTTTTCTCCCTTAGTGTTCCTCAGCATTCAGATCCTATTAATCATAGTAAACTGAAATTTTACACAAGCCAACAGATTTCAAAGGCCTCGCCAAAAGGGCTGTTCAACCATAAGAAATCAGCTCCCCACCCTGCCCAGTCTGGAAATTCCAAGGTCTAAGGCAGCAAATGGTCGCATGGTACAAATGGAGGAAGTAAAACCAAAACCTGGAGACGGCATTTTCTGCAGACTCCTGCCTGAGCACGGCGCATGCTCTTTGGACCCCAGACCCCACTGCTGCAGCCCCTCCAACAGAGCCTACTGCCCCATGGAGACCAAGAATCCTGAGCCCTCTCTGTGTCCGGGAGAACTGAGGAATGAGGAAGTGGAAGAGCAGTCCTAAAGAAAACCTGACCAACGGAGAAGTCCACAGTGGCACTGAAGATACCTCGATGTGACCACCAAGGCCGGGCCAGGTCAGTGGTTCCCAGGACAACACTCTTCCTCCCACGCCACACGTGTGAGCCCCTTCAGGGTTTGAGCCTCACCCTCTTCCTCTCCTGGGGTCATCTCAGCTGACCTCGTGGTCCCTCAAACCACCCACCTGTACATGACCATCATATCCAGACCTCCGAACCTGCCCTGTCTCCCAACCTCCCACCAGACCCAACCACTTCCTGGATACTGGAGCAGGGGCCTCACTGCCTCTCACAGGAAGTAGTTAAACCCCACACATTCCAGACCACCCACCAGCACCCCCCTTTACCCCATCACCCCTACAACCTGCATTCCCTGCCCCATCATTGAACATCTTTAACTTGTCCCTTATCCCAACAGCTGGTAGGTAATTAGGTCACTTCCTGGGGCTCTGACTGTCCACCACAGTCCCTGTCCTGGCTGGACCCCTGTCCTCCCCTGCCTGGATCAGGTCATGGACTCCAACACCTTAAAATAGTTAATGGTCCCTCTTGGCCTACTCAGTGAGTACAGATGGGAAATAAATAAATAATGCCACTAATTTGCTTGGGCTCCCCACCAAACGATAGCTTCCTAACAACACTAGCTGTGTGAGCAGCCCGGGGGCTTCCTTAAAACAGCTCACCTTCCACCCTGGGGCTGGCCACGCATCAGCCCACACGGAGAGCATGGCAACGTTGCTGCAGGAATGACCTCTGCAGCGCCCGCTGACCTTGAGACACCCTAAGCCTACTCACTCCTTCGGGGACAAGGGCTTGGCCCTTGGTGCCCTGTGGGGGAGCTGCCCTGCAGTTAGTCATCCACACGCTGGGTCCACGGAAGGCATGCGCCCACTATTGGCCTTGTCTCCTGATCAGAGGTGACAATGTCAAGATGGAGCAGCTCGGGACGAAGGTCCACACTCCTGCTGCTAAGGCCCTGGAGGTCCCGGTTCCCCCACGTCTGCATCCAGCGGATCTTCCTCCCTCGACATTTACTGGTTTCCTGACAACTTCCCTTTTGTCTGTGATAATGGGTTTCTGGTCCTTGACACCCAGGATTTGACCTAAAACTCTGCTCCTGGGTTTCCCAAAGTCCCAAGAAGGCTGAGCAAGACCTCGTCCTGTGCCCTTTTTACAAGCATGGGAGCGGAGTGCCTTGGTTTGTGCCCCTCCAGGGCTGTGCAGAAAGTGGACTGCCTCTACAGCCGCGTGGAGAGGGGGAACCTCCAAGAGGTGTCAGTTCACCAGGCTCCACCCTCGTGAGCAGATCAGTGCTGTTCCCGCAGGGGTGGGACAGTTATGGCAGGAATGGGTTCCTAACAAAAACTCTGAGTTTGGCCCCTCTCCCTCGCTCTCCCCACCTTGTGCAGTTGCACCACGTGATGGCTTCTACCAGGTTATGAGGCACAAAAAGGCTCTGACCATGTGCGGCCCCTCCACTGTGGACGTCCCCAGCTCCAGAACTGCACCAAATGAACCCCGTTGTTTGTAATGTGCCAGGATGTGGTGTCCTGGTGCAGCCGGAAGCAGACTGAGATGGCAGACCAGCTTCCTGATGCAAAGTCCTCCTGCTTTTCTGGGGAGAAAGCTGGGCCACCACAGGCACAGAGGCCCAGGAGGCTGCTCCGGCCCATGCTCTAGGAGAGGTGAGGCAGGACTCCTCCATCTCTGTTTCAGTCCTGCTCCTCCGTGCCCTCTTCTTTTCAGGGCCTCACCTTGGACTGCTGAGTCCAGTTAACAGCCAAGAGTTCCACTGAGCCCAGTTCTATCCAGACTACTGCCAATCCGGCTTAGGGAGCATCACCCAGCCTGGTTAAGCCCCCCACCTTAGCTAGCAAGTTCTTCTTAGTAATGTCCATGTGTTAAGGTCTGTAAACAAGTCAGGATGGCGCCTGGCATTTTGCCAGAGGGAGTGGTTTGAGAAGTAACAAAAGCAAGCCATTAAGTGTGGAGATTCCTTATTGGTTGACTGATGTATCTAGTTTATGCTAATTAAGATAAGCTGTGCAAAATGTATAAATACCTCTGTTGTCCTACAATAAACGGCTCCTACTCCTGCTGTATCAACATACACAAGTTATTCGTCACCCCCGGTTATTTTGCTGCATCCATCCACTTAGTAATGTCCTCCCCTGCCCTGTGGCTACACATGCCAACCGCCTTGACTGTATCCAGAGTTGAGCGCAGCTCCCTATGCAAGTCTCGCTTCCCTGCTGAAACAACTCGAATGAAATCTGTCTTGTCTCTTCACAAGTGCCAGAGCAACTGCTAATAGGAGAAAGAACCCTAGAGGATGATGCTCTGGGCACAAGAGGGCTCCGCGGAAAGTCCACTCCAGGGAAAGCATGGTGCCGTGCACTAGGGCTCCTTGCCTTGCCCAGGACCACCCGGGGTTCAGGACAGCTTTCCACTGGACCACACTGGCAGGTTTTTGGTTTTTTTTTTAAATGCCAGGAAACTTTTCTCCCTCTCCTCCAGGGTTGCTTGGGCACACTTCCTGAACTCTGGGTCACTAACCCTAGCCTGGGAACTTGGGGACTTGGCTCCTGAGTGATTAACCTGCTGATCTCCCCTGGAGCAGCACCCACTGTGCAGGTGCCCAAGGCCATTTTGATGTGGTCCAGGCCTGAGATAAAGAGGAGCAAGGTGGCCTCATCTCAGTCACCAGGTCTGATTGCTCTTGCAGCCCCCTTGATTGTTCTAGGAAAACTCATCACTCTCTCCTGGTCCCCAGGCTCCCTGCAGGGTGCAGAGCCAGACAGGCTTCCAGGGCTGCTTCTGCTAAGCCAGGAAAGCAGCCCAGCGCAGCCACACTCCTGCCACAGACGGTGGGGGGCTAGGATTTCAAAGGGTCCACACTAAACACCTGCCACCATAAAAGACTAAGCTACAAACCACGCTTGGGGTTTCCAGGGAGGATTAAATAGGAAAGTTTCTTTCAAATATTTTTGTCCTCAGTTGACTATGCCAGTTATGGAAAGAAATTCAGTTTCCCAACATCTTTGATATAGGCAGGTGGTGGCAGGTAATGAAAAGATATAAATGTAAATGTGTGTGTGCATCCAAACATCCAAAATGTGTGTGTATATGTACACACACATACAAAATGTACATATATATATACCCAAACATACATAGGTATTTTCCATCTACAACAACTCATCTGCCACATGCAAGAATCAAAATGAGGATTAACAACAAAAATTTGCCACAGTAAAACATTCTTTTAGAATTGATTTTTGCAGCGAATTGAACGTTCTACTAATCCAGTAGTGCACAGTACCATCAGAACATTTGACCCGAATCCATGTGACTTCTAATAAAAAGGGGACGGAGGGAGCTTGTTTTCACATAATTTATGTTAACAAACTTAATAAAAGTTATGAACCGTAACCATCTCGCCTAGTGTTTCTACAGTTTAATAGCTATGAATTGAAGCTTCATAAAAAACTGATTCATGAACGCACAGCCACCATGCCCCAACTGCAAAAATGTCCACTGCGCTGGGAGAAGCCACACTCACCCGACGCTCACCCCTGGAACTGCCGGCTTCAGGAGGAGCGGCCCTGTCAGGAGAGCCCCAGGTACCGCCTGAGGGACTGACAGCCCTTACCCACCGTCTGCTTCCCTGTGGACGCTGGTCTACAGCCAGGGTGGAAAGGTAAGCCATTTCAAACCTTGTGGTGCCACTGAGCTAGCATGGCATGTTTGGGAGGAACCCAAGCTCCAGAGTACATTTCATTATGAATAAAAACAGAGAGAGAAGAGGTCAGTGGGGTCCTGGCGGAGCCCTGCTCTTTACCTGCGTTCAGAAGACTTTCACCTCTTTCCCGGGAAGATCGATCTTTAGGGGATGAGAAAACCCGGCTGTGGATCTGGAAAATAAACAGAGACCATCCCCAGTTTAATATTTTTATTTGCCAGATACATAATTATCAATAATACACATTATTAAAAAAACAACAGGAACACCCACAGACTCTCTCCTTTCCCCCAAGAAAGAACGTGGAATGAATACATATTTCCACTTTCTCCTGAGTTAACTCTGTCAATGAATAAAAGATAAGTATATGATGATTTCCAGGAGGGAGGGAGGAAAGGAGAAAAGCTGTAATCAGCCAGCATTGATTCTGCCGTGGATTTTGTTAGCAGATCAAAAAAATCACATCTAATGTTTCTGGTCCCCCCCCATCCCAGGGCTGAATGGGTGTTGAGCTAAAACCGAATGTTCAATAAATATTGATAAATCAATTAACCACAAGCAATTAAATTTCAGGAATTAGCCTGTAAGGCCCAATGAAAATAAGATTAATGTACACAAAAGTATTCTGCTATCTACACTTGTGATCAGCTGATTCTCTCTGCTGAAAGGCAAAGATTTATTCTGCAAATCTGTCGTGCTTGCTGTGAGTCTCTGGGCTCTGATCCGAGTGGCAATGGAGCTCCAGAGCCTCTAGGGCCCCATGGCCCTCCCACACCCTGTGCCTCTGGCCCCTCAGAGCACCCCACGACCTTACCCCAGGGAACATGGCTGACAAGGTCCACAGCAACTGGGCGTGATTGGCAGGGCATCCCCAGCCCAGCTCCGTCCTGAGCCCAGGTTCCCTCCTTAGCTCCCAGGCGAGGTAAGCTCACTTCTCCTTCTTGGCCCCTCCACCCAGCTCCTGGGCAACCTCTTCTGGGATGGCAGGGATGGGGGAAGCTCTAGCCATACAGCTCTTCTGTCCCAGAGAGAAGGGTGGCCCCCGACCCCATGGGGACAGACGTGGAAGGGGCTGGGCTGAGCTCGGAGGGTTCACTGCTCCTGCCACTCCCCAGCGCCCTGTCCCAGGCCTCACCCTCCTGCTCTCAGCAGCAGAGAAGCGCTGACGGTGCTGGGACTCAGCGCTCTGTGTGCAGCACCTCGCTGAGCTCTCATGGCTGTTAGAAAGACCTGCTCTCATGAGCCCTCCTGTGACAGCCCAGACAGCTAAGCTTCAGCCAACCAACAGGCCAAGGTCACCCAGCTGGGCTGAGATAAAGCTGGGACGCGGAGCTGGCCAGGCAGACCCAGAGCACCGAGCTTTCAGCCCCGTTCCAAATACTCTGTTCTTACTGTTATGTCTTGGGGTCACCACTTGGCGAGCTGGCCGGACCTGCCAGCACTCACGAAACCGTACATCCAGCGTCCTTCTCAGATTTGGCATAGACAGGCCCCAGGAAGAAGACACGAAGGGTTTTTCAGGGAGGAAAAAAGAGTGTCAAGGCATTGGAGAGCAGCGGGCATATAACATGAGCCCCAAGTTCGACAGCAGAAGAGAGTCCCAGCCCCGATGCTCGGACGGAACGCATCAGGGAGGTCTGCAGTCCAGTCGTGGGAGGCGGAAGGGGCAGGGGAACGGGGCAGGGGAACCGGGCAGGGGAACGGGCCGGGGAGCTCCTGCTGTGCTCCTCCTGGCTGCTCTTCTGGGCTCTTCTGAGGAAGGCTGCTGTGCACACTTCTCCTGCAGCTGCGTCAAATCCAGCAGTTAACTGACCTGGGAGGGGGCTTCCCAGAATTACTTCCACTCGCTTACTCCCCCTGTGCTCTGCAACCTCTGGTCAACAGCCCCAGTCCCACTGCAGGCAGGGAACACTGGAGGGGGCTGGCTGGGACTGCAGACAGGCGCGCTCTCTCTCTCCCTGGGGCCCAGAGTTCCCAGTGGATGCAAGTTGACGAGGGCCCATGGCCTTCTGCAAATGCCTGGCTTCTCCAAAGCTGAGAACCATCTTCTGACGCTTCAGGCTCTGGATCTCTGAAGTTCCCAGGGATGGGTGATTCGGGGCACAGTTCAGCACCAGCTCTGTGGGAAAACTTGCTTCCTGCTCTTTGTCATCCCTTCATGCTGAAGAGCACAACTCTTCACCATCCTTACGATAGTTTCAGGAAGGACCTGGTGTCTCC